ACCCACTGTTGAAAACAAACTTAACTACACACAGCCCTGAGATTCATTCACTCCTTTTTCGGTACCCTGCCTCCTCCTTACACCTCCCTTCTTCCCATCCTCTGGCATTTCCTTGGGAGTTTGGATAAGCCTTGCTATTCATAATATTGAATGAAAACAATTGGGATTTTTTTTTTTTCCCCAGTTTTCCAATTACCTTCCCTCTCCTTCTAGCAGGCTGCGGTAGGTTTGAATTTCATTCTCCAGTCAGATCTTAATATCCAGGAGTTGTTGGTATTCAGCGTTCTGGCACTCGGTTTCAGCTCTAATCTGTTGCAGCTGTTCCTTCAGGGAGGTGATCTGGCCCTGAATCTGTGAGAGCTGCACACAGTAGCGACCTTCCGTTTCTGCCAAGGAGGCTTCCAGGGAATGTTTCTGAAAAGAGGATTTTGTTGTTGCTTAATGACCTCGTTGTTCAATTGGCATACTGAAGCTTATCAAATTATTTAATAAGATACTACTGGAGAAAAAGGGAAATGAATAAAATTAGTGTTTTATGTAATGGCAACATTTCAATCTCAGCACTTCATACTGATACTAATAGTTCTTTTCCTCCATTAGCATAGAGTTCCAGTTTTATTTCTGCTTTCTTATCCTCAGCTCTGTGTTTCTATGATAAAATGGAAGTCATGTCTCAAGACTTAACATACCAGGGCCAGTTGGGACTGTAGTTCAATCTCTAGACCTTGAACCGTGCGTCTCAATTCAGTAATTTCGGATTTGTGGCTGGACATTTGTTCAATGTTATCGATTTCTGCAGTCAGTTCCTTGCTCTGGAATTATAAAAACGGGAAAATATGAGAAACCTCGGACATGACAACAGAACTTACATGGGCTTCACTGTGAAGGGTGGTTGACTTACCTTTTCATTGAACCAGGCTTCAGCATCCTTTCTGTTCTTTTCAGCAAGTTGCTCATATTGGCTTCTCATGTTATTCAGAAGTTCAGTCAGATCAACACCTGGGGCAGCATTCATTTCCACATTCACGTCACCAGTAGATACGTTCTGAAGGTCTCTCATTTCCTGTTTGAGGAACAAAAAAAGATTTAATGACTGCACCATGACCACAATGAACCTTTTGAAAAATTGGGGGAAATATAATTTTGTATCACCTCTTCATGGTTCTTCTTCAGGTACTGCAGCTCTTCAGTCAGGCTCTCGATCTGCATCTCCAGATCAGCCTTGGTGAGGGTCAGCTCGTCCAGCACCCTGTGCAGGCCGTTGATGTCGGCCTCCACGCTTTGTCGCAGGGTTACCTCATTCTCATACCTGCAACAAGCATGATACATATATTGGATACAATTCTTAAGAAGGAGTTGTATGTGGAAAAAGACTTTAAAAAATTTAGAGTTGATTTCATGTCCTTGTAATATTTACCATATACTAACTCACATAGGAAGATTAGCAATTACTTTAAATGCATTTTCTTCCTTTAAAGCTTACCAGGAAGGTAATTCTGAAATTGAAACTTTCTCAGATAATTCCAGTTCTGTCACTTTGAATGAATTCAGGAAAATGTAAATGCTACTATGGCATCTAAAGTCACTATTATAAACAATTGATGTATTTGTATTGATAGTATTGCACATTCAATTAGCTTACTTCATTCTGAAGTCATCAGCTGCCAGCCTGGCATTGTCAATCTGAAGCAGGACGTTGGCGTTGTCCGTTGTTAGGTTGAGGATCAGGAGGAACAGTCATTTAAGAAAAGGTCAGATGCCAAATATGGCTTTTATAGTGGCATAGATAAGCTGCATTTTTATGTTGTTCTCTTCCAAAAACTTTTTGTGTGGATTATTTTTAAATATAAAATATTTTAAGCTTACCCACAAACTTAAATTTAAAAACCTATCTTGAAGTTTCTACACTATTCTATTTCTGTGTCATCCCTTTCTGAAAACTAACTATATGTAATCCTATTAATGTATTAGCCTCTTTTATACTTAGTGATTTTTATGTATTTCAACCAACTTTTGACTGGCTCACCCCTGTATTTGTTCCATTTGCTATAAATATTTCTAAATAGATATACTCTGAACTGGTAGGTACAATTCACAGATTCCCTGGAGTTAAGCAATATCCCAATTCCATAAAGGAGACTTCATGGATTTTGCAATGTTGCTATTGAATATGGCTTATTTGTTATCAGTCTTAATAATATTTTTGTTCTTATTCATTTAATATTTTTCAGCTCTTACATTTTTAAATGATCTGGCATATTTAACTGTGGGCTCATTATATGTTCATTAAAATCTAAAATTTCTTGTTAATCTGCATCATGTAAGACAGACAAAACACATGCTGGATGAAGATTGCCATGACCATACCTTCATTCAATTTATCCTTGATGAGACTGGATTTATTTGGAAGCAAGAAAATCACAGTGAACAGCTATATTATACTTAATTTAAGATTCATCTACCCATATTACAGGGATAGAATTAAATTTAAAGTTGGATTTTAAAATGCTCCTTACCTGATTTTTCAGTTCTTCAATGGTTTGGTAGTATTTGCTGTAGTCCCGAGGCTCCCACTGGCTTGAGTTGCCATGCTTTTCATACCACTCCTTGATTTTACCTTCCAGCTCATAGTTTGATTCTTCCAGAGCCCGAACTTTGTCAAGGTAGGAAGCCAGCCGGTCATTCAGATTCTGCATGGTTACTTTTTCATTTCCAGAGAGAAGGCCACCATCTCCTCCAAATCCACCACCAAAGCCTCCTCCATAGCCACCTCCACCAAAGCTGCCCCCACCGAAACTGCCACCTCCAAAGCTGCCTCCTCCATAGCCCCCACTTCCATAGCCCCCACTTCCATAGCCCCCACCAAAGCTGCTGCTTCCGAAGCCTCCACCAAAGCTACCTCCACCATAACCTCCTCCTATTCCTCCAAAGCCATCTGAAGAGCCCCCAAAACAGCCTCCACCAGAGCTCCCACGGCTAAAAGAGCCACCACTGAAGCCCCCTGAGCTATATCCTCCACCAAGGGAGCCTTTGCTGCTTGAAATTCTGAGGGATGATCCTCCTCCACCTCCTCCCCTCCACTGCGGGAGGAAGAGTACTGCTTGCTTGAGCTGTATCGAACAGACATGTTGATGCTGTTGAGCTCAGGGAGTGCCTGCTACCAAGGACAGTGGCAAGCCTTTATATACTGAGAGGGTGTGCCTCTCAGATGTTAGGGTTTGCTTACTTGCATGGTTTTCTTTTTGTCAACTTAGCATCTTTGACTCATGATTGCATAAATTATCTTCAGTAATAACCAATACCAATATGTATGCTTTTGAATATGCCCTAAGAAAAAACAGGAGATTTACTATGTTGAAATTGAAAAATGGGTGGAGTTCAGATGAGCATGTTTCATTATTCTTTTTGTCTTTTGAAGAACATTGGGCAACTATTAAAATCCTTTTTCCTCAGCATTAATTAAGTTTGCACAGAATGTTTGCAAAGTTTTGGGGAAAAAAATTTAGCTACAAAATTATGGTTAAAATAAGATTTAAATAATTTATGCTTTAAACTGTTTTAATTAATTGGAACAACAAGTAGCATGAAGACTACCAGAATCATGCTATAGTAAGAATATCTTGTAAAAACCTTTAACCAACCAAAAAGAAAATAAAAACATATGGAAATAATTTAATTAGCATCCAAGAGTTGCTGCATATAAGAAGTAAAAGCCTAAAAAGCACAATTTAGGAAATTATATGTATGTGTGTTTGTTAGGGAATCTTTTATTTGGAGAGTGAAAATATATTAATATATATTTTTAAATTTTTTTAATTGTACATGGATATAATACCTTTACTTTATTTATTTGTATGTGGTGCTGAGAATCAAACCCAGGGCCTTGCATGTGCTAGGCGAGCACTCTACCACTGAGCCACAACCCCAGCCCATATATTAATATTTTGTCTAAAATATTGGAAGTAAATATTGATTGAGAAATTTAAAATTTAATGATTTCATTGTTTTTAACATTAAAAAATCTGAAATATGTAGGGTAGAAACTGGTCACACCAGAAATGCCAATCAAGTGATTTTAGAGTGGGAAATTTGTATCATGTATCTGCCAACCTGGGGCTGAGTTTCTACTAGGTAGGCAATCAATCAGTCATGCTTATCTAATGCAGCCCTAATAAAATTTCTGCACATGGAGACTTGGGTCAACTTGCTTGGTTGGCAATACTCTCTCTATATAGTCATATATATCAACACTGAGAAGGTACAATATCCTGAGACATTTGGAACCCTCCGTGTCCTTGCCTTACAATAAACTATAACCACGAGTATGATAGCCAAAAAAAATCTGAAATATGACGTAATCCTGGGTTATTTTGTTTCTAAATTCCTCATAATTAAATTTTTTTAATGAAGACTAGCATACAGAAATTCTTAGCACAAGAACCAAAAAAATCTAATCTCAATACTAATTTCTAGTACCTTACAATAAGTTTTGATTGACCAGAAAAAGAGAATTTAGATACGGTAGTTTACAAGTAAATATTTGCTTGCAAAAATATATATCCATGGTAAAGAGTACTTGCTTAAAAAGTTATGAACTATAGTTGTATGTTTCTTAATAAACAAAACATTTTCTTAGGTGTACTGTTTACAGAATCTGGTATAATAACAGTTTGTCTAGTGAAGTATTTAATTGAAACTTTATTAATGCATGATATGAAATTTTGTAATGCTTTTTGTGATACTATAATGTAAAATACTCTGGAACAAACTGCTGAGGATAGAGATGGTGGTTATCATCTGTAATTTGTATCTCAGGAAGCTAAAGCTGATAGAGGTGATGATTTTTTTCCTAAAGGCATGTAATAGATGGTTGAACTGATTATAAGTTTGGTTCCTTGACTTTGACTTTCTTAGTATATCAATGTGTATATGTATTCTCAGTTGTGGTGTATTTGGTCTGATAATACTGAATGTCTCTAATTCTTACCATGAACTTCTCCCCATGGAAACAAAATAAAACAGGAATAACTTTGAGAAGCTTGAAGATATTGAAAGAATAGGGATTTGGCACTCATTATTATATTGAGAATTGCCTTTTTAAATTAAATTTATAGCTGTATCTTCAAGTTTATGATCTAAAGAAATAGTTTCTGCAGGGAAAGGGAATGTGGTTGAGAGCATTAATGAAGAGTTGATTGTTAGAGTGGAGATTACTACCCAACAAATTGCAACTCCTCCAACTTGTTGGTACATGGTGCAGGTGGAATTTAAGCTGAGCGTTGGGAAGGATAAGTGGGGTTTTTCAATGTGTGCAACATAATTGAGAGAACTGTTCTGGGAAGTGGGGACTGTGAATATGCCAAGCTGGTAGAGACTCCAAATGGACCAGTTTGGCTGGAACAGATTGTTCATATTCGTCAATGTATTCATTCCTTCAACAGGTTTTATTGAGCACATGCAATTTGACCTGGGTTTACATAGGTGACTAAGATATAGTTCTTGCTCCTTGAGGAGTTCATAGTCAACCTGGAGAGGCAAACAAACATACATATGAATCAGGGATAATAATACAGAGTCATCTAGGCTACATCTGAGGCATGGGTAGGGGGCTGAGGGAATGCAGAATGGCATTCCATCAATCTGGTGAAAGGAGACAGGCAGGGAAAGGAGGTGTACACTTGATGGATTCTATGTCCTCCTTCTCTTCAAAGTAGGAATAATAACTTTTGCTTAGCCTATAGAGTTATACTGGGGATCAAATGAGTTTAATTAATATAAAACATTTAAAACAGTGGTTGTCATACATAGAATAAGAGCTTAATAAATGGTTTTGTTCTCATTATTACTTTTACTGTAATCTCTGTTTCTTAGAGTCTGACCACTGTCCAATCCACAGTCAGCCTGCAAAATATGAATGAATGAAAGGATAGAGTTGGAAGTTGGAAAATGGCCAGTGAGGAGGAAAACATGGCTTTGCAGGAGAGTAAGGGCCAGGGGAAGCTGTTGAGTCTGACTGCTATGTAATGAACTACACCATCCGTTTTTCACTGGATGATACTTTAATTTCTGACTTCATTCTTTTTTTCCTGCACCCACCAAGTCACCATTTTTTGTTGCTTTGGCCATATCGGATGTATTTCTTTCTTTCTCTAATATCACTGCAAACCCCTAATCCGGCTTTCACCACTTCTCTCAGGATTACTTCACCAGCTTCTGAAGTATTTTTTTTTTTTTTTTTTGGCTCATCACTATGTCAGTTAAGTTCTATCCTGTTCACTGTGGCATGATTAGTAATGTTCTTAAAAAAGTATTGTCATCACTTCACCAGCATTCTCAAGCCTCTGTGGATGGATTAAGTCTTTTCTATAATGTTGCTTGCTCGTCCAACCTCATGCCCCTGCGGTAAGGGTGGTAGAGTGGAAGGAGTGCTGCATTCTCCTCAGGAGGTGATTATGTGGCCTTGAGCAAGACACTCAGCCTTTCTGTGTCTCAGTTTATTGTCCCATAAAATATGGATAATACTAATATTAAATATTAAAATATATATGATGATAATAAATAATTATAATCTGTGATCCAAGGGAAAATGTTAGCATTTCCTTAAAAAAACCCTTTAATTATAAGCAGACCTTTCTTTTCGCTCTGGACCAAGACATTATGCTTTGTTCCATTTAGGACCTTTGTTGCTCTTGGTGAGGAGTGCCTTTTTTACCTTTCGCTGGCTTATTCAAATCATTCTACCTGAGCTTCAAACTCAAGCTTAAATGTCATCTCCTTCATGAGATTTCTCACCATTAGTCTACTTCATGGCCATCTCTTTCTTCCCATTTCCTGTGTTGTACATCTGATTATTTTATAATGTTATAATACTCTGGCTTCATTATTGTTCCTAATGCAACATGGTACTTAACTTCTTCCATAGAAGGGAGGGTGCCTTATAGTCTTCCTGTACTGCTGGGTACTCAGTGTTTTCTGAATATTTTCATATCACTTTATGCCTTTTCCCACTTTTTTCTTCACCTTTATTTTGTTCTCTCAACTTTTGTCCTATATATTTTGCTATTGCCAAAAATTTAAACAAAGACTGGTTGGAGACAACTAACTTAATTTTGCTTTGAAAGAAATGATGCTTTTAGAATTGAGGATATTGTGTAAAAATGCTAAGAAATCTAAGATTCTACATAGGAATTTTGAGATAGCTTAAAGAATATAAAATATATACCTAGAATAAATGTACTTTATATATGTAATGTTTCGTAAAGAAAACATTTTGACTTTCACTTTTTCTTCTTCATTAATGGTTATTTTTTTGGCCATGAAGTTACTGAGATGATCTTGAGGCTAGTAAACCATTAAAATCTGTGGTTCTAATCTAAAATTTGATTTTCATATATTAGGAGAATAGAAAGTTCCGGTTGGGTTTCTGGTTAGCTAGCCTATAAGTATGATGTAATTTAAGGATTAAATATAACACGACTTAACTTTTAAACTTCGTTGACCTGTCATAGGTTTCTGTTTTTGGTTAAGTTCATTCTGTGAAAGACAATTTCTCAATACAAATAACCTGCATTAGGAGAAGTTATTGATATAGAATAGAAAGCAGAAATATAATACTCTTTTTAGTTTTCATATAAGATAGTAAAAACTGAAAGTACTAAACCAACCAACCAATCAAACTCTACAGACCCCAGTGTTAAATATTGAAATTAAACATTGTCAAAAATTCAGTGGCTATTTCTCCTGCCTCATAAATTTAAAAAAATTCCTTTAGGTCCAGTTGTGTTTTTCATCCAAATCAATAATTTCACGGATGGCTGCGTGTGGACCATTGGCACGTTTGGATATAACTTCTTGTTAAGTTTTAGCTAGGGAGTTTGGGCCAATCTAAATAGAATGGAGAAAATTTTAGATTAGAAATGGTGCACACTGAGGTTAAAGTTCATAGAGAAAGTAATAATCCCCTACTCTGATGACTTTAAGTGAATATATGTGAGATATATATATACATTTAAGGGAAAAGTCTTATGAAGTTAAATTAATGTCTTAATTTTATTGTTTAGAGATTTTAAAAAATGCTTCATAACAAATGAAACTCCTTCTTTGAATCACTTTGGGAGAGGTTGGAATTGCAGAGGAAAAGATTTAAATAATTATTTAAATGTAACATATGGTAAAGGGGAAATTTATCATAATCTTTTTGGCTCCTCAGGGCTGATGGTTGATAATGCCCAAAGACCATTTAATTTTTTTGGATTACACAAATTTGCAGATAACATTGCAAAGTTAGTTCTAAGATTGAGTTTATAGAGCTATTCAGACTTTTTTATGATCCAGGGCCTGTGCTAAGCATTTACCTGCATTTTTCTCATTAAATCCTGATATCAGCTTTATGAGGTAGCTTTTTAAAACAGTTATTAAAGTAAGTGATTTGCCCCAAATTATTCTATAAAGGGGCTCCACTGGGATTTGAACACAGGTATATCTTCTGAGCCTTTGCTTTATTTAGTACAATGACTCTTTCGAAGTAACCTGATATTGTATTTTCCAGCATTGTGACTTAGAAAATTATTAAGTACATAAGGGATTTTATTTCCCTTTTCAGAGTGGACAAGCTTTCTTTATTATCATTGTTTTGTGAT